GGAAGCTGGTTTATCACTGCCTGAGGTTTGCCTATAACCTGACACGTGACATGGCCAGCAAAATTCAAGCACAGCTTTATGCTGTCCAGGCCAATCAAAAATGATTTTGTATTTAGTTTGCGTTTTCCATACTCCCAAATGACCTCCTACTGGTAACTCATGTGCTACCAATAATACCTCCTTTCTATGACTCACCAGTAACACAGCTTAATGAACTTCTGCCCATTTTTCATCCATCAGAATATGTGATGATCTCCATTTCCTTACTTTTTAAGATAGTAATGTTCTGGGATCCATGCAGATTCTTCTGTGTATGCTTTTTTTATACAACTGCTTTATTTTTATACCTTTCTGTTGTAATTTTGTTAACTTGTTTGAACTAAAAATATCCACTTTGTCCTCCACCTGCTCTTGATTTTTCTCAACCATTTGATCAAACATAGTTTCTGATAATTGAACTTCAACTTCCTTATTTTCACTCTTAGATATCTCCTCCTGTTTCAGCCGATGGCTTTGTGACCTTGTTACCACACAGTCAGGACAAATCCCAGGATATACTTCCTGGAACAGCTCAGTTGTTTGATTTTTGTACTGAATTTTCAACCACAATAGGCACTACTTACACCTTTGATCCAGCTATATCATTACCGAGGATAAACTGTATTTCCTCTATCATTGAATTTCTCTATTACTCCTACCACTTTACTACTTTTCATCAGACTCTCCAACCTCACCTTATATAATGAAACACTACTCTTGTCACCACAGATTCCACATTTGACCACCTTTTCTGGCAGTACTCCTTCTCAATTACATATTTTCTTATCTCCCACCATCAAAGATTGACTTGTTCCCATATCTCTTAAAATCTTAATTTCTTTACCTACTCCTCCTGGCATACGTGAGTAAACCTTGCCCACACAAGTAAATTCTTCAAAGAGATTTGGTACTTTCTTCTCAACCAACCCCTGACCAGGTTGTATATTCTTTTGCAGCTTTTTAATTTCTCGTGTGCTTTCCTTTACCACTTTAATAAAACTCACTGACTTATGCTATTTTCCCGCATTCGTCTTCCCTGTACTTTTTTTTAACCACCAACACTGCGACTCGTGTCCTACTTTCTTACAGTGAAAACTCCTGAGTGCTTTTACTTCTCTTCCCCCCTCAAGGGTTTCCTTTTTAGCCTGTGATAAACTATCTTGACTATCTTAAATGAGATCTCCTTTCCCTTGCCACCCGAGGTTTTCACTTTTCCCCAGATTCTATCCCTTCCAAATTGAAATGGCTGTCAGGAGTCAAACTTTGATTTATGAACTAACCCATAATCATCTGCCATTTCTGCTGCTAATCTTACAGTTTTAACTCTCCGCACTTCCACGCAGAGTCAGATCTACAACACAGAAGAGAACCCTTTGGTCCCACTCATCCATGCCGACCAGATATTCTAAATTAATCTAGAACTATTTGGCAGCATTTGTCCCATATCCACGTAAACCCTTCCTATTCAAATACCCATCCAGATGCCTTTTAAATGTAATTGTACCAGCCTCCACTGCCTTCTTTGGCAGCTCATTCCATATACACATCCTCTGCATGAAAAAGTTGCTCCTCAGGTCCCTTTTAAATGCTTACCCTCTCACTTAAACCTATGCCCTCTAGTTTTGGACTCCCTAACCTGGCGAAAAGACCCTGACTATTCACCCTATCCACACCTCTCATGATTTCATAAACTTCTTCAAGGTCACCCCTCAGCCTCTGATGCTCCAGGGAAAATAGCGTCAGCCTATTCTGGCTCTCCTTATAGCTCAAACCCTCTAACCCTGGCAACATGCTTGTAAATCTTTTCTGGACCCTTTCAAGTTTCACAACATCTTTCCCATAGCAGGGATACCAGAATTGAATGCAGTATTCCAAAAGTGGCTTAACCAATGTTCTGCACAACCACAACATGACCTCCCAACTTCTATACTTGATGCAGTGACCAATAAAGGCAAGCGTACTAAACACCTTCTTCACTGCCCTGTCTGCCTGCGACTTAACGTGTTCTCACTATTTCAGGAAGTGAATTTTTGAACCCCTCCAAAATACCCATCTCTCAAGTCATATGTCTGAACTATTTCCGGTGCCCTTATCCACCTATGAAAGTTACTTTGTTTGATCCTTTCAAACCCTATGGATGTTTAACCAGGTTCCCTCCTTCAATTCTGAAAACATTGTCTGTAGGCTTCTGGCACGAGTTAAGATGGACATAAGGTGGCTTTTTTCTCCTTGTCATAATGCCCCAATACCTCCTTTGATAGTGATGCAAGCAGCTCATCAGCTGTATCTACCAACTTTGTTTGAAATGTCAATACCACATGGCCAGTGGCCATTTCACTTGTTTAGCCACTTTCTCAAATGAAATGAAAAAGGCTTCTCCTTCCTTCTCATTGAATCTAGGCAATGCTTGGACAGAAACAGATCCCCACCCAGCCTTTGGGTACAATGGGTTTGCTTCTCATCATATTGTCATCACTACTCCCAACTTCCGAAGTTCAAAATTTCTCTCTTTCTCCCTTTTTTCTCTCTCTTTATCCCTTTCTTCTCTCTCATTATCCCTTTCTTCTCTCTCATTATCCCGTTTTTCTACTAAGTCTGTTCTTTCTTTTTATTTTTCTTCTGCTTTCAATTGTAACTTTAACTGTTCCAGTTCCTTTTCATATCCGGTCTGTTTTATGCAATTGAATTTTATCCATTTTCAATTATTCCGATTGCATTTCTGGCAATTGTAAATGCTGTCTTCCGCTGCAATTACCTCCCCTTTCCTCATGACAATGGCAACCCCAACTCCAGCTTGTCTGCCAATTGCGAAAGATTTGCCCTGTTCACCTTCTGTCAACCACCCCAAGTGACTTCTTCCACACCCAAGAAACTCTTAGCCTCTGAAACAGCCATTATTACACAATCTATTTAACCCAACCAAATGCAACACCTGAAAAGAGAACACCAACACTTACCACTCACTGCCTTTGAGGCTAATAATCCTAAACCCAGCCTGCTACTAGGCTTTAAGCATAACACACTTTATTCTGACACCACAGTGTAAATATAAAGAAAAAAGAATTGGCATACCTTTAACTCTACTGAAATGCTTAACAAACTAAAATATTATTATTTAACCACTAATCATCTATCCTTCTCATACAGCAGCCCCCCCATAAACACACCCTTGGAAAAGGAAAATTCAGCAAAATAGATTTCTCTCACTTTCTATCTTCTCTAGTCCAGTAGAAGGAACACCAGCAGAATGAATCTAGCAGCAGAGACAGAAGTCAAACTTTTTGTAGCAGCAGAGATAGAGCTGTATAGAGCAGCCTCAATTCCAAATCCAAGTTTCAACCACTGAAAGCAAATAACTAAAACCCTGGGTCTGTTTGATCATGACTCAACCCACTCATGCTTAATATTAAAAAATACCCAAAGCTATTTACACTGCTTTCCACAGAGCAGACTCTTTGACACCAGATTTACAATGCCCCTATTCAAGAGAAACAGGATTGAACAAATCCTTCTTAAAGGTATGGTGCAAACATACATGAAGACTATTTACTATAAAATAGCAGATTAAAAAGTTGAGTTGCTCACCCTTACTAATCATCTCCTTCTGGGCCTATAAAGTAAATACTTGAAATTTTTGCAAAACTTGTACATTTTTCTATACTCCAGCTATTTACATATTTTTCTTAATAGTAATGAATTACTCTACCAATTTGCCACAGACGATTATCGGATCTACTCAGCAAACAATCAACTTACAACTTTGCTGTGACGTGACTGTTTTTTCACTGTTCCTTGCTTCCAGTATGGAATGAATTACAATTTTGAAAGAAACAAGTGAAATACTCACCAACCAGTACCTAACTTGTCTCCTTGTGATATCACACTTCACAAGCTGCAGTTTAGACCAAGTAGTACGTAGCTTTCCTTCCCATGCTATTTGAAGCCTGTGAAGTTCCACCACCCTCACTAGCTTCCCATTTGTCACATATTACTGTTAGTTAATTTTTAAAAATTTTTAAACTGTCCATTTTAGACTACATCCTCTCCATCCCTGCACCAAATTATCTTATTCATCAAGTTCCCAAGTTTACACCCTGTGATCTGCTGCACTCTGTAATAACCTGTTGCTTTTGTGCTGCTGGTGCAATGCCAAAAGTACTCTGGAAGCTCGAATTAATTACTTTAATCACCTACCCCGAAAAAACCCTAAGCAATTTGCTTTTATAACTGCAGTGTTTTTGAAAATTTGTCCACAGTATGTGGCCATTACTGGCAGGGCCAGAATTTACTCCCCACTCTGCAGTTAGGCTTCAGTCACATTGTTGTGGGCCTGGAGTATATGTAGGCCAGAACAGAGAAGGACGGCAGATTTATTTCACTCAGGGACAGTGATTAGTGAACCAGGTAGGTTTTTACAACAATTGACGTACGACTCAGTGTGTATTCCGAATGTTTATTTAACTTGCATTTCACTGCCTGCCATTATAGGATTCAAACCCATGTCCCCACAACATTAGCCTGGGGCTGTGTATTCCTAGTCCAGTGACAGTAGCACGATGCCACCACCTGCCCAATTTGTGAAAAAAAGAGGAAACCAGTTCAGACTGAAGCTAAATTTGAACTGTAAAACATCCTAATACTGAGACATGCAGCACAGGTAAAATAGAGGGGTAACGTCAGAATAAATTATTTTCAATCAACTCTTTCAGTTGATTGTTGCAGTTCATTCAACACGATTGATGCTAAAATGTTCCTGCATATTTTAGCATCTATCCTGTTGAATATCTACAATGCAAATTTTAGAAACAAAAAATAAAATGCTAAGAAATAACCTACAATGACAGATGATCAGTATTCAGGCCATATGTGTTGTCTACGTAACAATTTGTGCAAATCTTCAGCACACCATTTCTGAAGCTGCCAAAAGGATTAATAGTGGTTTAATTTTAATTTTGTTTCAGCCGCACATGTGCATGTCAGGGAAAGGATCCTGAGACCTGTGGTGCTTCCTTTTCCTTTGGCTGTTCTTGGAGCATGTACTTCAACGGATGCAAATATGCCCGCAGCAAGCATCCACGCAAGTTTAGACTTCTGGGGGACAACCCTAAAGAGGTTGGTTTAGTTCACAAAATTTTAATACAAGAATGTATTTACAACTGTCATTTTTCATTACTACTACAGACCCAAATTGAGAGAAGACAACTAAATTAACAGTCTCGGTTCAATGCTGTTGAGTCGGTTGATCATAGGTTCCAGAACAACTTGAGAGGTTTGAATTGGCAATCAGGATGAATATTTCAGCACTGTACTAAGGAAGAGCTGCAGTATCTTTAGAATGAAACATTTTACCAACACTTTGGCTGTCTTGAGTGAACATAAAGGATCTCATGGCACAGCTGAAGAACAGCGGATAAGTTCTTGAGCGTCCTAGTTGACATTTATCCCTCAACTAACATTACAAATTTATCACTTTATGACATAGTGTTCGTGGAACAGTGTTGTGTGCAAACTGGTGCTGTTTCTCCAGTTTCTAAAAGAATGACTCACTTCACTGGCTGTGATGCAAATTCAAATAGTTTTAAAAATTCATGAAAGGCAGTACATAAATTCAAATTCTTATCTATTGAAATATTGTAGTACAAGGCTCAGGAAAAGTTATAACTATAGCTTAAGAATCAGTGAACAATTCAAAACCATAAAACATAATGTGATAGGCAATTTAAACACAGGTACTGCACATAGATAATAAAACAGGGAATCTTTATCCCGCTGATAACGAACGTTGGTAGACATCGGTAGAAAGGCATAACTTGGAGGAATGAACAATTTGGAGTTGGTATTCACCTGATGTTCCAAATCTCTAATTAGCTGAGTAGCCGAGTTCCATTGTTAGAACGTATTTTGACCATGTTACAGGGCATCACATGGTCATGCCAAGTATCTTGTCTCCCGTACACAAAGGGGATCTTCCTTACCTCTCAAACTCAAAAGGTGTTGCCTAGATTAGTTCACTTAGATCTCCTGACACTTCACTTCCTTTTCTCACGTCACTGATGGTGCCTGTGATCGATATTCCTCACGACCCTGCCTTCTCAATGCTCTGATCCACTAGTCTGTAACTCTGCTCCAGCTCCCATTAAGTTTCTGCAGCTTAGGGGGTTGCCAGTCAGTCTGGCTGAGTATCCAGCATTAGCCTGCTCACTTTCCTGATTCTGTAGCCACTGTCAGAGCACCAAACCCCCACCAAGTCACTACACAAGTCCTGGACTTCTCATTGCATCTTTCTTTGTCCCATGATTCAGTGCATCTGGTTTTGCCCCTCAGCTTGCCAAATACCCATTGTGGCCCATAGAAACTGATTAGTTCCCTACTCTGTGGTCTCCCTCAGCATTGTTACTTGCTGCTGGAGACCGTGTTACACATTTCATTGCTTGAGAGCTGTCATCCCAGTAAACAGTCATATCACAAGATGACTGATTCCTGATCAATCACATTGTCAGCAGGTTCACTTCAGCTATGACATACGGCATGTTTAAGTTCATGTTGGTGGGAACATTGCCTTTGTCCATCAAGAAAATGCATGAATAGTTTGGGTTTGAGTTGATATCCAACATTTGCTGGAGGTGAACTTCTCAATCCCTCTGAACTGATACCTTCAATTATGTTTTGATAGTTAAACTTGCTGGGATGTCATGTACACCAGGAGTGCTGGATTGGCAACCATGTAGTCTCCCTGTCTGATAGCTGTCCATCACCTTCCAGCATAAAAACCGATGTCCTCACACTGGATGCAACAACAGATCCCATTCACGCACGGTCCAGAGTTCCCTCTTACTTTCCAAATCCTCATGTGCACTGCTGTCGTCTGGCACTCAGAGCTTTGCCATACCAGTTAGTGCGTGCCCAACATCATCCACCAGTATTTTGAGACTGAAAAACTCAACTCTGGATCCAGTCCTCTGAGGTGTTGTTCAAGCTATGGACTTCACATCATGACTGTGACCACTAGTATTGCGATGCGTCTCTGCATTGGCCAAAGTGCACCTCCACAGTTCTGGCAGTAGTTTGCAGGAAAGGCAGTCATCCCTGATCCATTACACCACCACTTTGGCACTGTAGATGCCTTTTCCAACAGTTGATTTGAACTGCTTGTGGACTGCTTGCAAAATGTGAAGTCTGAAACTGTTAGGAAGAATGAATTACTTCACTGTTTGCTGTTATCATAGATCAGCCGATGCAGAATGCCACTTTCTTCCCCGATCCTCTTCCAGCACCTCAGCAGTATAAATGCCCATTTGGACTTTATCTTTAGGCAGCATTGGTTCCGTCGACATTTCGTCTGTTTGTAGAAATGAAATTTACCGAGGTCCTCAGTCATTCAATTGAAGCAGCCTGAGGTTCTCCATTGAAATGGGTGGCAATAGAGGAATCACATGTGACTCTACCCTTCTGAATTGGGTTTGGATCACCATCATAAATGCACAGGTGATGATCTTACCGTGCTCTCCCAGGATCTGTAGGGGATTTAGGAATGAATGATGGTGTTTACATCAGCGTCAGCTGCAATCCTATGCAAACTTGCAAAAGTGGATTGCCTTCCAAGACTAGTCTTCTGGTTGAGGTCCTCAATATTTCCGTTTCCTTTGCCAGGATGGTAGCTCTTTTGGCAAGGTAGGAGGAATGAAATTCCACTGGATGGGGTCATGGTAACTGATATCATTGGTATCTCTTGTTGCTGAGGGCAGTCTTGTTTGAAGTCCCAACACTGTTACAATTTCAATACCTCTTTGGAGCCCTTGGACAGGCTCAGCTGTGAGGCTTACAGTAAAAGTAGAACAAGAACTGGATCTTTACTTGCTATGTAGCAGTTTGTTCCACCTGCCTTTTCAACGTGAGGTCTACATCCACATCTGCGCGAACAGTCAATTCTCTGACGGTGGCCGCTATTCTCATCTTAAGAGTGCAGTCTTTCTCCATGATCCAGATGATGAAACCACACGCATCAAATAAAAACAACTGTGGCTTGTCGTCATTAAGCCTCCTCAACTGCATTCAGACATTTCCATACCTATTTCAGCTGATTTTTCAGCTTCATGTCCCTCATACTTTGGTAGAAGGATCCAAGGCAATATGGTCAAACAAACTTACCAGCTCTGGGAATTGGGGATCAGGTCCTGTGCTATGGTCTGCTTGTTTTTGTAAAACCTCTGCTGCAGCTACTGCAATCCTCAAACACACTCATCAATATCTCCAATATTTACTGTGAATGTCTTTGTACATACTTCTCTCCATCATTTCCCACTTTTCCACACATATGTTCCATCATGAAAACTGCCTGCTCTCTCCCTGAAAGCTCTGGATGCCCTCACCAAAGTGGCCCCTCTAATCCTCGTTGACTGGATTGTTTTGCATCCTTTGATTTCCACCACATCTGACCAGCTGTTCATTGATTCACAGATAGAATATTCCACTTGTACTCAGTTATGTTAAAGGAGATCATGCTGGAACCCATTTTTAAAAAATTCATTCACAGGATGAAGGCGATGCTGGCTAGGCCAGCATTTACTGCCCATCTCTAATTGCCCAGAGGGTGGTTAAGTGTCAGCCACATTGCTGTGGGTCTTTGGTCTCACGTAGGCCAGACTAGGTAAAGATGACAATTTTCTTCCCTTAAGGACCTTAGTGAACCGGATGTTTTCTCTTCTGATAATCGACAATGGATTCATGGTCATTGTTAACCTCGTGATTCCAGATTTTTTTTTAAACTGAATCCAAATTCCACCACCTGGCAAGGTTCAAAACCGGATCCCCAGAACATTACCTGGATCTCTGGATTAACAGTCCAGCAATAATACCACTACACCATCATCTTCCCTCTGGTCACCACTTCACCTGAGAGCCTCATCCTATTAAGTGCGTACCTCACCTACAGCAGCCTTTTTCACTGACAGGTCAGTTCCAGTCATTCCACACTTCACTTTATTTCAACCAGGCTTCTTTCCTTTCAATCACCATGAGTCGTTTGATCCTTGCATTGTAAAGTCTGACCAACTGCATCAAAATATAGCCGGTGATTTTAACGCATTTAGTGCATGAAGATTTCAAGCAGAATTCTTTATTCCACTGATAACAGACCTTACAGGCATTAATGGAAAAGCATAACTTGGAGAGAATTTAACTATTTAGATTGAATATTCATCTAATGGTCCAGATTCTTCAGGATACTGTTGTAATGGATAACACCAGATCTCTAATCAGCTGAGTAGCTGAGTCCCACTGGTGGATGTGTGCACCTGGGTCTCTCTGCTCCTGCACCCGCTTTCAGAGTTGTGCCCTTTATTTTGTGTTGTCTTTCAGTGTTCTTCCAATCGGGGTGCACTGCTTCTCAATTTTCTGCATTGAACCTCATTTGCCATCTTACTGTCCACTCCGTCAACTTGTCATTGTACTTCTGGAGTTCCACAATATCATGCTTATAGTTGACAACTCTTCCAACTTTCATCTGCAAACTTAGAAATTGCCTCTTTGCACCAAGGTCCAGATGTTTAATGTATTTTGAGGGAGCAGGCATCTTGGCGCCAAACCCTGGGGACTCTGTTATGGGCCTTGCTGAAGCCCAAAAAATATCCATTTCTCCCTGTTTCTGTCACTCAGCCAATTCTGCATCAATGTTGCTACTGTCCTTTTTATACCATGACCTGACAGAAGTCAGTTTTATGGGACTGTATTGAATTGCTTATCGAAGTCCATGTGCCACATCTACAGTGTTATCCTCATCGAGCCTTTTTGTTACCTCTTCAAAAACTCCAGCAAGTCAGTTAAATGTGATTTCTTCTTTAGAAATCTACGCTGACTCTTCCTAATTGACTGATAAGTTGATGCTGTGTTCAAACTTCAAACATCTTTTCACCCAGAGGATGGTACAAGATGCTGGAAGGATGATAGAAGCAGAAACTCTCAGGAAATTTAATACTTGTTTAGATAAGTGTTTTAATTTCCGGTGGCATACTGCTACATGTCTTGCCCGGATAAAAAATGGGATATTGCTACTCTCCTTGTCTCTCAAGCTGAGGGGTTTCATTTAAATGCTTCAGCTAGGCCTTCTATACCTTTGACCCACTCCACTACTACTTCGCAAAATTCTAGTCAACATCAGTGGCCAACATTTGCATGATTCATTATCCTGACTGGTCCATTAGTGTGAAATTCTGCTCCAAATCCTAGTCGCTGCCTTGCTGTCTCTCTGTCTCAGTGCATGAGGCTTCTTTGGCTCAAGGGTGCCCCATGTTGATCTGGCTAGGTATCTGCTACTTGTAGGCCTGCTTCAAGATTCCCATCTTCCTTCCCTAACCACAATAAGTGACTTGCTACGCAGATATGGGCCTGCTGCTCCTTCTTTCTTCTGTTTGCCCGCTTCACTTCGCTTTCCAGCTCTCTGGCTACCGTCAGTGGCTTTTGTGCGTTTTGATTATGGCCCAGTTCCTCAATGCTGTGACCCACCAGTCTGGAACTCCGTTCCTGCCCTGCTCTATTCCCTCTCCCTCCATTAGGCGTTTGCAGCTCAGGGCCTGCCAGTCACTCTGGCTCAGTCTCCAGCATTTGCCTGTTTGCTTCTTATCCCCCTCACTGGCTGTTAGCCACCAGCAGAGGCTTTCAGCCACTACTAAATTCGAGGCTTCCGCTCCATCATACTTTGTCACCACCTGCTTGTGAAGGCCCTACTATATTTGGAGAAGTCAGGGATCAGAAAAGGCTGGACCTGCTGTGTTCCTCCAGCTCCACACTGTATTGACTCTGACTCCAGCATTTACAGTTCTTGCTATCTTCTAATCAGACAAGGCTATTCAGTCAAAGAAACGTTCAATGTTCTACTCACTCTCTTCCCACAACATTCTTTGATGTTTGAATAATTACACAGTTAATAGCCTAGGATGGTAAGGAGGGGAGACAGTAGAAAATGTTTTCTAATAAATCGAATTCAACCTGGACCATAATCAGGAAAGAAACTTGATGCATTGCAGTTTCAAAGCAGTTGTCACCTGAAAAATAAATTCATGCTGAAAGGTGAAGAAATAATCCATGTTTAATTAACAAATAATTCAATTAACTGATGTGTCTTTATTTATTTTACTTTTTTTTGAGAAGAAGTAATTTAATCATGGTTTCTCAATTGCAGGATTTTTCAGAAAATATTATCTTATTAGTTCCCTCTAGCGACAGGCAATTCATGATTCTATCATAACTTTGTACCATAACTTCAATTTCACTGCCTCTTGAGCAATTGATTTTTGCACAGAATTAAAAATAATAATTCTTATGTTGGAAATGACACTTGGTGGTTAGCAGATGTAAATAAGATCACTGACAACATCAGTATCTAATCACATTTGGATTTAAGTAGAAGATGCACAAGCACAAAATACAATTGCAACTTTACAGTACTGACAAATTACAAATCATTCATGGATCCAAAAATCCACAAGATAACTTAAATTTAAATTTGCATCTGTGAAGAAACTCAACCTATGGACTTGAAAGCAGCAGATTTTACCATCCTAAGTAACTAATAGCAAAGTCTCTCTTGGCTTTCGCTGAAAAGAGTACTTTGAAATTTCTGCTGCAATACTCTTAGACCTCTTAATTATGTAGGTAAACTAAACCATTCAAAAGCCAAGGAATCATTCATTTTCATTTTGAAGAGTCCACTGCAGTCTTCCTCTTCTGCAGCTAAGAAGTCCAAAGGATACACTCTGACAACAGCATGGACCTTTTTTGAAAATTAGAATTCAGAAATTCTAGCTGCAACATAAAGCTCAGTTCTATTCTGTTTCAAAAAAAATTGCTTAATGACTTCTCTGGCAAATCTTCCAAATTTGGGCTGATCCAGGTGTATTTTAATCCTGTTCCCTGAAGGCTTTGCTACAAGCTATCGGGATCGAATAGAAAGCAACAGCGTAAGATTTAATGAACACTGTGTTAGGAAAACTGCAGATGCTTCTTCCAGTGCAATAATAGATTGGCACAGCGAAAGTAGGCCGTCAAACTCTACCAATTAATATTTGGTAGATTCTTGGAATTATGAAACAGTTCAATGAAACTTTAAAAATTTTCATTCATTGCTTTACTAAATGACAGGTGAAAGTGAATCTTACTGCAAATTATAAATCTGTATAACTGTGGTTAGTATTTGAGTTTTGTTTAACTGCACTTAACTGTACATTGCAGTCAATCCAAGTAAGGTTCTACAATAAACTGTAATATATTTAACTTGAGCAACTCTTCAATTGTAATTGGTTCAAGTTATCAAAGAATAATTTTCACATGAAATTCAAAATTGTGAGAGGATCAGTAACACTACTGGTGAACTTCATGAATTTTATTGCAATGAGTCCTCGTTTAGTGTCAGAGCATTAATTTAATTATTGGTTTTCCCCTCAGGAAGATTTACTTAAAGAGAGATTACAAACTCTAGCCACAGAGGTTGCACCAATATACAAGCAGCTTGCACCCCAAGCCTTCAAAAATCAGGTAACTTAAATCCTCTGGAACAATTGAGTCTATTAATTTTGGAACTGTAAGTCAGTGCTCCTAAAAAGAAGTGTACAGATTATTTAGCATTTTAGTCATTCACAAGAAAAGATTATGTGCAGAGTCTATGGTTTACATTTTGTCAGGTAACACATAATTTAACATACGTGCAAAATGATTTTGGTATTTGACTATTTGACTAAAGTTGTTAGTCATTTTGTAAATCATAAACCAGTGTCCCAGAAGAAATGAAATTCACTGGCGTTCATGTGCTGCTTTATTGAATCACTTGAATTAGTATACACCCAGTCAGTTCCCAATCTCGTATTTTACTCAAAAGGTATTTTCAAGCCATGACAGGTTGTTTCATCAGACAAAGCAAAGAAATCAGAAACTAAGTCAGCCAATTATTTATGAGACAACTCAGAATTATATGGCGGGTACCCTCCACGAGTTGGTATTAGGACTGCAGCTCTTTGTGAAATACATTTATGACCCAGATTTAGCACAGGAAACAAAATTTCAAAGATTGAAGATGAGACAAAACTTAAAGAGTTGTAATAAATGTTGAGGAGAACATGGTGCATGGTAAACTGAGACTGACTAGTGAAATAGGAAGACATAGAATATAACGCAGACCATATATAATGCATGTAAGCATGAACAAGTTTATTTTGGAAGTTTTATTTGGAGCAAACTTGAAGAGAGTGCAGAAATCTAGGGGCCAGATACTTACCTGAATTAATATTTGAAGTGGTATTGCATCCTTCCCAGTAGCCTCCTTATCCCTGTGTGGAATCTGTCTGTAAGCATTTGTAGACTGATTGTATATTAAAATGCTAAAGTGTTAGCTTGTCACTCTGCCATGGAATAATATTTGAGGCTAGGAGTGAACGCGGGAAACCTTTCATTTCTGAAACTAGTTTTGCACAGTTTGTAAACACAGTTTTATTTTATGGTTTTCTCCCCCTGCCCAGCACACACCTAATGTCTGTATTAGATATCCAAACCTAAATGTGGAGGAGTGTCTTAAAAGAGAAGAGTCACAGAGTTATACAGTATGGAAACAGACCTTTTGGTCAAACTTGAGAGAGGCCAGATTTGGAACAGTAAGAGCTAGTGGGTTGGAGGGAGTTACAGACGTAGGAGGGCTGAGACTATGGAGTAGTTTGAGACCAAGGATGAGAATTCAGAAATTGAGTTGCTGAAACAGCCAGGCAGCATAGGTCAGTAGCACGAGGGTGATGGATCACACATTGCCGATGAGAGTCCAGTGCCATCTGTTTTGCCTCTGGGGTTTTATGGAGACATTCTTATATTATGTGACTTCAGTAGAAATTAATACATTTCCAAAGAATTGAGTCTGTAAATGTGTTGCAAATTTTAAATTGATTTATGGCATTGCCAAAAAAATTTCTAAAAAGAAAGTAAATCTTCACTTAAGAACGTAAGGACTGAGAGCAAGGGTGAGCAATTCAGCCCCTCAAACCTGTTCTGACATTTAATACAATCATGGCTGATTTCATCTCGGCTTCAACTCCACTTTCCTACTCATTACCCATAATTCTTTAACCATTCTGAAACAAAAATCGATCTCCCCCAAATTTATTCAATGTCCTAGTGTCCACTACACTTCGGAGTAGTGAATTCCATGGATTCATGATCCTTTGAGAAAAGTAATACCTCCTCATCTCTGTTTAAAATCTGCCAACCCTTACCCTAAAATGATGACAATCTATTTGCAATCTCAATATGTTCACAAGTTCTTCATTATATCAACTCACAATTATCTTGCACCTTTAACACAATAAAGGATTCCACATTTCACAGGAGAATTATCAAGTCAAATTGGACCCTGATAAATTGAGAAATATGAGGACAATTGCCAAGTTTGGTCAAAGACCTACATTTTGAGACATGTCTTCAAAGAGAAGTGAGAAGAGGTGGAATTCCAATGTCTGGAGCTTAGGCAGCTGAATGCCCAAGCATTCATTCTGCAACATGAAAACAAGACATGCCATATTTGGAACAGTGAAAGTTAAACAGTTGGAAAAATTGATAGACAATGTAATTTGAGATCAAGGATGAAAATTTAAAATTCGATTCACTGGATTAGCAACCAGTGCTGGCCAGAAGTATGAGATAGATGGGTGAATGACAATGGGCTGCAAAGTTTTTGATTAAGTATTTTATGTCTGCGGGAAGCCATACTTAATGCAACAGTCACTGAGCACATAGCAATGTCTTGCCTGCAGAACATGTTAGATAATTATTTTCAGGTATTGGTTGAAGGATAATTATTAGTCAGGATACCAGGATGAACTTGAAGCTTTACAGAGAGCATCTGACTTTGAGGGTGGCATTACTGAACCGCAATGGTTCATATTTTGCATGAATGTTAGGGGAGAGAAGGGGCTGGTGCATGCACAGTGCTCTTGCAGATGTGCCTAAAGAACCACAATTAAAGTGAGAAAGTGCAGAATGAAATGTTTAAATACATATCCTCGACTGCAAATGGATTGAAAACTGATCTACGGACAGACAACAGAGTAAGAATAAATGGGTCATTTTCAGGATGGCGGACTGTGACTAATTGAGTATTGTAAGGATTACTGCTTGCACCTCAGCTGTTTGCAATTTGTATCAATAATTTGTACGTGGGGGTTAAAAGTCGCATTTCACAATTGGTAGACGGCACAAGTAGTGGAAATGTGAGTTGTGAGGAGGATGCAAAGACACTTGAAAGGAATTTGGCAAGGCTCAGTGATTAGGCAAAGGATTGGCAGATGGATACAATGAGGAGAAATATGATGTTATTCTTTGCTAGAAAATACAGAACTAGAGGATGTTCCTTAAATGGTGAGAGGCTGCTAAATGTTGAACTTGAAAGGCACTCCTTCATGGGGTCACTGAAATTTTATGTGGAAGTTCACAAGCAATTAAGAAGGCATATACGTTGGCCTTCATTGCAAAATGATTTTAGTCAAGGAGTAAAGATGTCCTACTGAAGCTTCAGAGGGCCTTGGTGAGACCACAATAGAAAAACTGTGTTCAGCTTTGGTCCCCTTACCTACAGAAAGAAATACTTACGACAGAGAGAGTGCAACAAAAGTTTATCCAACAAATTCCTGGGATGGAGGGATTGTCCTGTGAGGAAATATTAAACAGATTGGGACTTGATTCTCTGGAGTTTAGTCGAATAAGAGGTGATCTCATTCAAACACACAAAATTCTTACAGGCTCGATAGGGAACAAAGGATAAAAGCAAAATACTGCAGATTCTGGAAATCGGGCCAAATGACCAGTGCAGAGAAGTGAAAACTAATTTTAGGAAATTGTTTTCACAATCTGAAAAGATAGTGAAAGCATTTTCAACATTAACCATTCAAAAAGTAAGTTGTGGGCTCTGAGCCACGAGACCCAGGTGCAAGTAAGGAAGGCATTTTTGAACTTTTGGTTTTCTGAGCTGAATGAACATTGAAAAGCTTTTCACAGAAATATTAAATGTTTAAGTATATTCTAATTGCATCAAATCCAATCTGATCAATTAGCAGTTATCTTAGAGAGTTACACAGTGCGAGCATAATTTATTTTACAGTGAAATATTTCAAGTTGTCACTAAGATAGTTGTTTGTCCTCAGCGTTACCAGATACTCTGCTCAAGAGGTGTGTAGTAACATCCCTCAACAGGTTAATTTGAAAGTATCTTCAAAAAATAGGTCCACAAACTTGAAAAGCAAAATTATGTACGACGACAAGGAACAAACTGGTGATTGAAAGCAATTGCAACACTTTGCTTTCAAGAATCAGCATAGAGTGTAGTGAAAGGTTGCAAGAATCTGTAACTCTAGTATCAGTCTTGGAACCATGTAAAGTTTTGGATCTTGAACCAAGTCTGTGGCAAGAGAAGATCTAAGAATAGCATTCCAGATCTTATAGCAGGCCACAGCAAACATCACAATGTGTGTTGCACGCCTTGCGATAACAATAATAAATGAGCAGAGATTAAAACTGCAGTAGAGCTGATTAACTGTTCTCTTCAGATGGATGATCCATCTTGGCTAGTTTGCAACCGAAGTTGCCACAATCACAAATGCCAATAAAGTGAAGAGATGTTGGCTGCCTTTTCAATGATTTAAGTGACCATGGCATCAAAGAAGCATGGCAGATATTGTTGGCTGTACAGCTTACTGATCAAATGAGTTCTTGCCATGAATTTCAAATACCCTCTGCATCCATGTGAGCAAATGTGCACAGATGTACACACCTGTAACAAAAATCAGAGTTAACGTTTCGGGTCTGGTGACCCTTCCTCAGAACCATTCTCATAGACCTCTCCTGCAATCTCTCCGCTGCATTCACATCCTTCCAAAATTGTGGCACCCAGAACTGTACGTATTCCCCAGAACGGGGGGTCCCCAGAACCTCAGCTATGCTTTCAGGAAGGGTCACCGGACCAAAAACGTTAACTCTGATTTTTCTTCACAGACGTTGCCAGACTTCTGTTTTTGTTCCTGATTTACAGCATCCACAGTTCTTTTGGTTTTTATTGTACATGCCTGTAAGCCTGATTTCGAAAACTATATTTTAACGATGTTTGTAAACTCATTACATTAACACATCAACTATATCGTGAAAATATTAACAAAGATACAACTTTGTGTCATGACTGCAAAACTGTCAATACAAGTTTAAACAGCAAAGGACAGCTAAATGTCTAGTCACGATGAGAAGCTATCTCAGTGGCAACGTGAAATATTACACTGTAAAATAAATTATGGCAGCACTCTCTAAGATAACTGCCAAAAGATCAGATTGGCTTTGATCCAATTAGAATATACTTAAGCAATTAATATTTTTGTAAAATGCTTTTCCATATTCATTGTGCTCAGAAAACTAAAACCTCAAAATTGCTTTCCTTACTTGTCCTTAAATGATTCTCATTAATGCTAATCAGACTCATTCACTGTTCTAAATGGACATAATCAGAGTTCAAATTG